TGGAATTGTTCTGGCCGACAGGCTCAGAAAAGAAAATACTTATGCAGAAAGGCGGTTCCAAGCTTTTGTCAGTTAGGATGAACCCGTCCCTATGGACACCGGTTTTCATCCATGGCTAGCGCTGTACGACCCATTCACATGTTGTCGGGGTTTCCTATGGGCTGTTCAAAGTTGGTTGTTCCTTTAGTCAAGACGAAGCTCTGATGCCCGGAGCACCCTTGCCACCTGACGCCAGGTATCCTTTGTGGCGTCACTCAATGGGAACCTCTCGATCCATGGTAGAACCTTTCGGAGACAAACAATGGCTTTGTCTCGGAATGGTTAGCCCAGCAACCTGTTTGGTCAACCACATTGCTTTGGGGGAGGTCCCTTCATTTGGAGACAAAGCTAGGTCGAAATCTACACGTTGTGCAAAACTGGCATTGCTGCCGCTCATCCGAAGCACAGAGCTGATTCTTGGCTGTTGCCTGCAATCGCTTGTCAACAAGCATGTTGGTGAATGCGATGGCTCTGCCCTGCGCACATCATCTGAAATACTTACTCCTCCAAATCCACACTTTGGAAGTTTTGGAGACCCCAGCAAGACTCTTCAGTGTCAAGAGAGTCCAACAAGTTCAAGCTAAATGATCTCCAAGCAAATGCTCCAAGAGAGCTAGCTGCTAGCCAAACCGCTCAAAAGAGGAACTGCGACTTTGGGGAACCTTAAAGCAGTTGTCAATTTTCTTTTAGCTTTCCTTGGTCAAAATGACAAAGTAGTACACAGTCCATTTTGGAGGGGCATGGGGGAATTTTCTAATTCCTCCCAACAAAACCAGCCGACTCTCACCCAATAAATATTTCAAACCAAACCCCCTCCCCCACCCCGGAACATCTTTGTACTGTTTTTGTGCTAGAGCAATTTCTGTCACCACCGATTCCCCCCAAAGAAACCCGAAACCCGAAACCTCCGTTTGCGATCCACACGCCCAGTTGGCTGGCAGATGCATGGGCCACTCAGAGCACAAGTGCCCGGGCCCCGTGTCTGAAATCGAAGTGGGCGCCAACCCTACCCCCACTCCAGGGGGCCAAGGGTGACCCGTCAAAAGAGTACACACATAACCATGGGTCAAAATCTAAATCGTACCCCAGTGCACATCCCAATCCCCACTAAAATTGACATGGTACCATTGGTTTTGACCCACAGCCACATCAGTCCCTTACCCTGCAAGACCATTTGTTTTCAGCGGACCTTTCCTCGGCCTCCATGTTCGCAGGGGAGGTGATTGCTGAAGAAGGCCAAATAACGCCAAGCAAGCGTTGGGAGAGGCATTTTTTGGGCGTGGGTAGAGTCGGTGGGCATATTCAGGCAATTCTTCCGGATGGAAAGCTGTGAGCCAAGAGAACTAGCTGGCTAGAGTACCAAAGGGGGGACCCTGTACTTGAACCCAGTTGCCCAGTGGTGCCCTTTTTTCTTTTTTTGGGAAGGGTTCCCCCTTAAAGTCAACCATCCAAAAAAGGATGCCCTTGTTTGCCCATGGCCACTGGGCATCTGAGAAAGGGTTCGCCCGTTCATGCTCCTGGGTTCACTGGTGTCCAAGATGGGTGGGGAGGCAAGTTAGCAGTTGCTTGCCCGCCCTTCCGGGTTTGACCCACTTGTAGGTCCCCTAAGTAGACTAGGTCCCCCAGTAGTGCCCTTTTACCCTTTATTTGGGGAGGGTTGCCCTACTAAAATAGAAAACAGAAAAAAGGTACCCTTATTTTAACCTCTCTACTGGAAGACCTAGTAGAGGTTACCCGGCTGGTGGGCTGTATCGTAGGTGGCTAACCACTGGCCGGGAAGTTTTTGGTGGCCTTGCCCATGCCATCCGCTTGGACTCACCTCTCAAGATTCTGCGATTCGCTCCAGGGGGACCCCGGAAATGCTTGGAGAGCCGAGCTTCAGAACAAGACACCCAAAGGACGACAGGAGTCGTCCGGCGTGATTTGAATGTTGTATAGAATTACACACGATTCTCCTATATTGCATCATGAGTTCATTTGGTGTCAAAGTTCGCCACAACCCCACTAGGCCCTCTTATAACAGTCAGGTTTCGTGGGTCAGCAGTTTCTTTTTGGTCGCCTTTCATAGGCTATCGATCTTGGAGCTGGTGCACATGTGGATGGCCGGGCGCTTGGACGCATGCATGACAAGAGAGAAGGCCCTAGGACGGGTTCGTCCTTATAGTGGAATTTGTGGCGTAGAAGTTTCAGTAACACCCTTCTTAAATTGACTGGCAACAGATGCTGGTGCTTTTGCTGCAAGCAGCCGGCAGAAATCCAGATTCTGAAGGGCCAAATCTGAGAAGAGCGTTAGTGTGCCATAAGAAATCCCACCCTTTGCCTTTGACCAACCGTAGGGGATCCCACCGTTTGTGCCATATCCTTGGGGCAAGAGGGAAATTCTGAGATGGCAATCCCGCTTCGAGATCGAGGCGCTTTCTTGACGTCTTGTGAGCCTTGATTCCCCAGAAGCGGAAGGGAC